CCAGGGTGCGTTGACGTTTTCAGAGTTTCTTGACGCGTACAATCGGAGCTGAAGCCGAATACTCAACATGTTTGACACGAGTGACGACGTCTTTCCAAGTGCGTGCACAGGGAAAGCAAACAGCGCACAATATAATGCGAATACAGGGGCGGATCCAGGATTTTTCGTACGTTAGTCAAAGTTTTCGGATGTACAATCTAGTTTTGCGGGCGGCGAATGCGCGAGGCACCTAGGGGGGTCTGTCCCCCAGGAATTTTTATACTTTTAAACCTCCGAAACGCAATTTGCATCACTCTGAAAGCAGCTTCAACAATTAACTTCATGAAATGGGAGATAATTATAGCAACTATCAGTCTGACTGACTCTCACAACTCGCTCCTTAAGGAAAAGTAAAGGAGAAGTACTTGCAGAAATGTGATAATTGTGGAAGATGTTTCATTTTATCAAATTACGGATTGCTAGTATTATGTTTAACTATCTCATGATAGTACTACACTCATTTTTGTTGCCCAATAGCCTTGTTGAGTCATTGATCACTTGACTAGTAATCACTACAGTGTCATATTACTCAAATAAACATATATCAATATTAAAGTCTTAACATTCATCTATAAAACCTGACCTTTATATCCTATGTACACTGCGTTAATGCATTTATATAGGTTATCCTCCATATTAATAGCCTTGTGAGTTCTGACGGACCTTCAAACGCAGAATTACAAATATGCAATTTGTTGTGTAAATCAAAATTCATAGCTAAATCTAAATCAAGATACGCGTATTCAAGTTACGATTTTACATATGCATGGCGCGCATCTTGTTCGCTTATAAATATTGTTATGCTGTCTAAAACGAAATTAAATTTACATATCACATTTAATTTACCTTTAGCACTTCAGAATAAAGATCTCGGCGCCAATACTTCTACTCAAATAGCCAAACTGTAGTTCGTGCTATTCGTGGCGCTTACGCCGCTTAGCAACTGCTCACTGAATGGAACTCTCCGATATTTAGCGTCGATTTCCCCCCCAAGATCAGCGCAACAGTCTTGTAAGACAGCTAAATCATTCACTGCAAATGCGGATTGAACCGTTTCGTGAATACTACAAGGTCTGGAGCAGCAGACATTTCCGAATTTTCCGTAGATATCTTTAAATTGAATCTTCCGACAAAGCTACAACATGACACTTCGAATGAGCGCGCGCTCGGAAAGACTTTACCACGCGTCAAATATTAATGATATTCCGACCAATGGAGCGCCCCTGACTTTTGTAAATCGGTCAGAACTCCCCACAGATCAGTCAAAATCGCAAAAAATCGCTTGTTACCATGGCAATAACCGTCTAGACCAATCAAAACACTGGATTTTGACTTTTTGACTGACCGACTTTGCGTATGTCAGCTGTTCATTGACTTGACTAAGCTCGTCGGCTCAACCACTGTATGAAATTTGATCACTGGACTACAGTTCGATTGGAATGTTAATTGCTAGCGCTGCATGATAATAGATACTGGACTATTATAAGATGTCGCTGCATGATAAAAAATAACTGGACTATTGGTCGAATATTTAAGACTTTAATTAAGTTTGCAATTTTTACGTTAGTCGCGTGACTGGTTTGACGACCCCTAAATCCGCCCCTGTGCGAATATGCATGCATGCGTTATCAACCTTGTAATCAATACTAGCCGCCATTTTAGTTTGTAGGACGCATGTAATTCGCATGCGTATTCGCATTATATTGCACGCTGTTCGCTTTTCCTGTGCGCAGGAAACCGTCACTTGTAACAAAAAATTATTAGCCATGTTGAATGTTCGGCGCCGATGGAACGTGTGAACAAACTTTACTTACGCAAGTAGTCAAGACTGAGACTTTAATAGGAACATAGCTCTTGTGTGCGCCGGGCATTAAAAGCCTCAACGATATTTGGTTGTTGCGCAGTGCGTGAGACTTGTTAGTTTGTTCAAATGAGCATAATATATAATAAAATAATGAGCGTAAAATGTGTGCAGTTGACAATTAGTCCAAGCAGTTTATTTCGCAATTCCTGCAAACTCTCGACGGTATTAATCGAAGATAATCAAGGGTACATTAAGGGTGCAGCAAACGCGCTAGCCAAAAGATGCACAATCAAGAAACCCACAGACTTGCTCTTGGAAAAATATTGATCGCTTTAAAAAAATAAGCCAATTGAGACTGAGACTGCGAAACCAAATGGCACGTTCTGCGTTGGGATGAATTGCGGTTGAACTATAACAAGTCGCTGAGACTGGAAGAATTAGAGTATCAAAATATTCAACTGTTCAATTATCATTTGAATATGGAAAAAGTTGCTCAGACAACAATTTCCGCACGGCTGACTCGCTATGAAACAGTACAAACATTTTTTAATAACTGTTGTATTCTGGATATACATGTAAGTGAAAGACAAATAATGATTGAACAGTTCAAATACTTTGACATGCATATATATCATTGAGCAGTCATGCATGCACGCCAAGTATCGATCCGATGCCTATCCCAAGCTATATATTTTACAGTAAAATTTTGAAAAAGAGCGGTCATGCACAATGACGTTACAAGGCGTGATGCGCGCGGGGAATTATGGTCCTATAGTAGTCACTGCGGGAATATTCAAAACAATCCAACATGGCTACTATCCAATGCGAGTGTGTCGCTGTTCTTTGTCGTCTTGGAGAGGTTATAAAGCCGATAAACACCCTAGTTCTTTAATTTTCCAATTCTTGCGTGTGTCTTCAGAGGTTTGACCGTCCTGAAACTCTGAAAGTAACGGCAACATTACGCTTTCATCAACCAGTGCGAGTAAAATAAATGGCGGTTTTACGTCAGTTGCAGTGTCTTTGGTCGTTTTTTATAAAAAAAATCCTGAGGTTCGCTTTTATAATTTAGAAAAAAGTTGTGGAATCCAAAAAAACCATGAGAAGTAGATAAATTGTATTGCCTGCAAATATTTCTCTTCAACAATGTATTCCTTTGCATTTTGCAACAGCCGGATGTTTATTAAAACCTACATGAACCGGATGCCACATTTGAATGTTTCAGAGTCGACACCAACGATTTTCGACTAATAATAAAAGCACGGAATATTATACTCCTTTTTTATTGTTTGTAAAACAACCAGGAACACAACGCGTAAAATAATAGCTTAATTAATTTAATTAACTAAAGTTTGTTTGAACAACATTGGAATATTTTGAAAATGAAGATCTATATATATTTATTATAAATAGCAAAAGCAAGAGAAACTACACTGTTAATTTGTGTAGAATATTCAGGTATATATCAGCTGTTTCTCATCTGGAAAATAATTCTCCGACTCAATAATAATTTTTGAGAAAAATACAAAACAAAAGCAAACCAGCATTGTGTTGCTGTTGCTATTTCTACCAGCGCATAAAACACCTCAATTTTCCAGCTCCTCGTTTTTCATCTTACTTTTCCATCGTTTATATACGCCAGTAATACTGTATAAGCGCTTCCTTGTTTTTGTATATTTCTTAAAAATTTATGAAAATTATGCATTAGTAAAAAGATACCATGAATTGATGTTATAATTGCCAATATTTTCACCCAACGCTAACCAGTCACTGGAAATAAATTTGCATTTTTAAATTCTATCGATGAAGAGTAAAAATAAATTTACAACCAAATACAACTCTTATCCCCAACCGTCAACTCTTATCCCCAACCGTCACTGAAGCGTCTAAACAAAAGTAGGTTCAGTGATGTTTAGAGTTCAGTTTTGTTTTATGATCCGGCTTCAGACAATTTCGTTTTTCCAGCTCGTGAAATTATAAGCAGTAAAGAACTATTTGATTGTGGCCGCATCGATTGAAAAACTAAATTTCATAGTTGCCTATGGGCAGAATTGAATTTGGTTCTTTAGTACATAAATGTGTTCGCGAATAATATTCAAAATTTTGATTGAAATTCATGATCATTTGCCACTTTCCCCTCTTCCGTGCAGGTTTATGTCAACATTCAATAAACAGTTTTAAACATCAGCATAACGTCATCCCAGTCACGACCAATTCAACGCTGTTGGCCTTTGAGTGCGGAAGAAATTTCCATTTGTTAACGAAAATCTTCAGATTAAGGTAGGCTCTAAAATTTCACACTGTTTTGAATTACTGACATCATTATATATAAACGTACAAAACATAAACTGTTCATGTATATTGTATTTTGTCTATTGTATATCATTCCTTAAAAATTTAGGAAAATTATGTATTTAAAATGATGACCATGCATCAATAATTTGATGCATGTTATAATAAGGTCTGCCTATACCTCCACAAAATACATTCTGGTGATATTTAGTCTTTTCGCGAGCCACGTTCACACAAAAATCGAGACATTGACGATTTACGTAAAATGTTAACGAATTTACGGTTTCTACATAACTGCGTTGTACGTCAAATACTCGCTATTGAGCAGCTGTTCGAAATTCGACGTCTTGGCCACAGGAAAGACAATCAAAATAAACATGGAAGACAAGAGGAATTGCCGAAATTTCGCTAACTTCTGAGAATCAGCGGTTATGCTCGTTACTGTAGGTCGAGGGTGTAGGGTTCTATTTAGTTTGGGTGACTTTCTTGTGCTTGAAAACTAGTTTAAGAGGAGTTGTGTTAAGGTTACAGAACACCTTTGAGTGTTAATTTTGTCTAAATTTATTTTATTGGTTTCCATGAAAGTATTAGACCGGTTCTACCATCTGACCAAGTTTGAACAAAAAGTGTTGACAACTCGCAGAGTTATTTAATAAAATACATTTCGCTGTAATAAGAAAAACATTGAAAATGTAATATTCAAATTCAATTTTCTCCCGAAGAATTTTACGGCAATTACTGATTTTCAAACGAGTTGTTCTCTTGCGGGTTTTAACGGATTTTTCTCAAATTTTCACAGGACATAGCTACAGACGTCAGTTTCACAAAACTGTGTTCGGCTTTTTTCTAACTTTGGATATTTTAATAATAAGACAGGGCCCGCGGAGCGTATTAGAGAGTGGGGGGGCTAAAGGGTGAGGTTTAATTAATTTAGAAAGTTTCATTTAGATTTCTATTTTAATAATTTTGGCTGTCAAAAAAAGTGGGGGGGCTAAAGCCCCCCCCAGCCCCCCCGTCTCCGCGGTCCCTGATCGAAGGGACTAGATTCTGTTCCGAAATATCACTTACTCGAACCGTCCTGACCGCGCAGCTCAGTTGGCAGAGCATTGGGCTAGTATTCCAAAGGTCGTAGGTTCGATTCCCACCGTGGCCGGGCATATTTTTCAAGCTTGCCCAGTGTGGATATACACTCGGAGTAACACCACAAACATCATTATGTGACACTAGTTTAATTAAAGATTTCTGGTCATTTCTGGAAGGGTGTATTGGAAACGAGTCAACCTTGTAAAGCCTGATTATAGGCATATGCTTATACTTACGATTTAGATACAGCATGTTTCAGATGACCGCAAACAAGAAAATAGGATGAAAAACATGACACACCTAAACGTAACGACGTGTGAACTAAAAACATTTTGTTCCTATTTTTTATAAGATTAATTACGCTTTCCGGTGTTCAAAGTGATTCAATGACACTTATAGTTTAGTTTTTATATCTAGCATACGGCCAGGTGCGGATCTAGGATTTTTCAAACATAAGTCGAACGCCGAAGGCGTGAGACATGCTAGGGGGGTCTGGGGGCATGCCCCCCCCGGAAAAGTTTGAAATCTAGAGTCTCTGAAATGCGATTTCAAGCGTTTTGGCGGTGAGATTTTGCAGAATTCCAAATATTATAAAGTACATCAAGCACATGCTTTTTTTATGATCTCACAAACGTGCCTTCTCCCAGTCCTCGGAATTAGATTTACTAACGGAGGGTCATATTACAAAACACATCATGTAGTTTCAACTTTCAATAGCCTTTGAGTTTGGCTCATGAAATCCTTCGCAAATTGAAGTGATATGATACCAATGGCCGATCCAATATAACTCGCTGTTTCACTGGATTTGTGAATCAAAATTCTCAAGCAAAATAAAGAGTAATATTTCAATTATACTTTGTAAAATGCATTTTTTATTCAATGAATTACAATATGCTATAAATATCACTTGTATATTATAACGATATTCATCGCAAATCTTTCGTGCAATGCAAATCATCCAAATTATATTGTTTTAACCCTCCAATGCCAATGCGTTATTCTGGCCCTTTTGATAATGGACAATGCATTTATAAATTATAAATACAGCAGGAAAGCTGTAAGGCCCGAAAGCGCATTGTAAGTTGCAAGTCGATAAGTCGATTGCGTGTAAAAATGTATTAAAGCGTGTTATATTTCAACTTCGCATTTATCATACAAGATACATTGCAATATATTCATTTCTGTTTCATAATTTTGGATATTGTCATACATCATAGCAGGGCACACTTTCCCTTTGGCTTTACCACCCAAATTACGACCATGATCTTTGTGATTTATTGTGAAGCACGTAGCAGAGAAGTCCCAACTTAGTGCCTTCTCGTTGTTGAACAGAACAACATTATAAAAGCTGCTCGCTTGATATCTTAGCTGCCCCACAATAATCCACATTCAGAGACAATTCAAAGTTTATTAAAGGCCGTTAAATCGTCTCGTAAAATCGGCCGCGTACATATAAATACTCGATATCGTAAAATAATTCTCCCAACTATGAAAAACCTTCATATACGGGAATATGAAAGACTGCTTTGCATGAATTTCGCAATTTTCAAGGACTGATATCCCCTGCCGCGAATAAGTCCGAATCAGTCCAAAAAAATGAACCAATAGAAATTGTCAATAATTTCAAATTGACCAATCAAAATTAAGGAAATGGACTTATAAAAACTCCCTTAAAGTGCAAATCAGTCGGACCACCCCATAAAAACTCCCTTAAAGTCCAAATCAGTCGGACCACCCCATAAAAACTCCCTTAAGTTGCAATTCAGTCCGACCACCCCACAATATTTTCAAAT